TGCTACTAACCTTGAGAACACGAAGACCAGCCTCTTGCTTTTTTTCCTCCCAACTGCAAATCATCCACTCGACAGCAAGCTTTTAATCTTATCCCATTTATCAGCAGTAATCATCTCACTTTTTATTTGGCATTTGTGAACAAGTATTCTGTTTATTAGCTTAATAAAAGCTCAAATGCATAGAGCTACAAACATCAGGCACCTCAGCACACATTAACACTGGGTTCCCCCGTATTTCAACCTTCTTTATGCTGTAGAGAAGTCAAGACCACCAGGATTTGGGATCCATGGTGGAGGTACCCCAATGAGTATGAAGTCCCCACCACACCATCACTTGCTACCTTTACAGCTACTACTGGACAGCATGGCTCTTGCACCATACTTACATCTCATTTACCTCTGGAACACGTCATATATACCGCACAGGTTTAGAAGTCCTCTTGGCTTCCTTCTCACAAGCATATCAAATGTCTTAATGCAACACTGCACAAAAGGTTGTCCATGCATCTAGACTATACATATACTTAAATAAGTAAGCAATTTAAACTCCCTGAGTTACACATCACCTCCTTACACCATTTCCCCAGAAGGCATTGCGTGCTTTCTGGTCCACCAGTTAGCACTGTTCTTCCGTAACAGCACCCGAGGGTGAACTCACGAGGCGTGCCACCCTCTTGCGTCCAAGACAAGTTTTGCTAGTTCCACCTGGAAGCAGGTATCAGGATAGCACTTTACCCGAACAAAGGCAACCAGCCCTCAGGTGTCTGGGCACACAGGTCTCCTTAAACCTCCCTTAAGAAGATTGCTGCTGCTGCTTGCATTTAAAAGAAAGTTCAGTATTTCAGACTAAGCAGGAAACTTTTACCAATTAGAAGCAATTTTCAAGAAATCATCATGATAGAGTACCAAAAGCAGAAGTATCAAATGTAAATAACTTGTAAACATTAGTGACATAATAGTAGATTCAATTGACATGAACGACCACAGAGACAACTCACAATTCAGAAATAGCCTTTTGTCATGAAGTCTTTATGGCTTGACAGAAAGTAAGTTAGATTTGTTTTTGAAATGGTTAGTGCAATTTTTTTATTTGAGAGGTCAGCTATAAGAAGAGTTAAACAGATGAATCCAGTATGACACCTCAGCTTCCAAGTCGTTTTTGAACCTGATCTGAAATATGGCACTGAACTATCTAGAGTCAAGGCATTTGTGAACTTGGAAATAAAACCACAGCTATTTTCCCCTGGGAGATGGTGGTGGTGGGGTTAAGTTCTTTAAGGGATAATTTGTATTTCACATAAAACAGAGGAAGGAAAGCTTAGCAGCTTAACAGCATCAGAAGTGCAGCTGTGAGCTTGGCCAGTACCTCTGCAATCCACACATACAGCTTCATCTAATATGTAATTCATTTGGAAAAGTGAATGAAGGAAGAAGTAGGCAGCCTCACTGAAGAGATGGGTAATGCAGCATTTGAGAACAGTTCTCTCTTGGAAATTCAGACTCCTGCAGTTACCTTCGGCTTTTACACAAGGAGTGGCTACAAACAGCGTATTCCCCAATACTGTCTGAATTGAGATCCTCCTCTCCTGCTGTTTCATGCAAAGCAAGAATGAATATCCAACCTTCTATCCAAAGCAAAAAAAAAAAAAAAAATCAGTGTCACTTTCCGTGACAGTGATAATGGTGTTCATGGAGAGTTTTTAAGTAGTGTACACCTTTTTGGAATCAGGAGTCAAGCTTCAAGACACTCACCATGTCTTCAACTTTCATCCGAGTTATCCATTCTCTGATTCAGGAGACACCACTAGGTGCTGGCACCACCATTTCCTTATACTTATTGCTTTTACAAGCTATCTTCATTCCAAGGACACCTAGCTCACTAGAGCATCTTTGCTCTTCCCCCTCATTTCTCTTCCAATACGAAGAACTCCCATTAACCCTAATGGAAGTCAACGTATGTGCACACAGGACGTAATAGACCTTTTAAGGCTATATGGCTGACCAACAGGAACAGAAAAATACATACATGTAACTGAAATTTTCTTCCATTTAGCAAAGGGTACCGAGTTTTAACTGAGACTCTTCAAACCGTTACCCTTACTTTCTTATATCCACCTTCTCCCCTTACCCCCTTAATTTATGGGAAAGACTCACTGTGCTTCCCTAAGCAAACCAAGAAATAGATCACATCAAGTTTGCTCCATAGACCAAAAGGTAAAAAAAAAACAACAATAAAGGACAAACTGGTTCACAGTTAACTATAAATAAAAGTGCAATAAGTGTTCAAGTAGAGTGTAGAGTTTAAGCAAGCTGTACAACCACATTTGGCATAGTCATCTTTTAAAGGCTCTGCGTGGGTCCCTCCCATTACTGACAGGAGGGAGAAGAGGCTGAACGCTATTAGCTGGTGCTGGATTTACAGGTCCTCGTCCATTGCCTCTCCCACAACCTGCATAAGTGTGGCCGTGATTATACGTAAATGGAAATCCACTTGATTCGGGTCCAGTTTGTAAACCATTTCCTGAAAAGACAGAAAAAAGGTTATCACGAGTTCCACGGACTGAGATCACTGCTCCCTTACGTGAGTTTAGCAACAGGGAACGCATGAAGCTTGCAGGAGCCAGCAAATCCCAAACACCAGAAGGAAGAGACCCTCTGGCACTGCAAGACCCCAAACCACACCTCACCTTTTTCCCCCTCCCAAACTACCTCCCCTCCATCCCTACCCCCCACCCCCCCCGCCAACTAAAGCAAGGGTCACAGAGTTGCATGCTGATTCTTTGCCCAGGAGAGAGACTAGAGTCTCATGAAACTAGACTGATGCTTTCAGAAACGTGCACTGGCTTGTAGGTCACACACCAAGATGTTCCAGAGAGACAGCAGGGCAGCAGAAGTCAAGGAGAAACCAGCAAAAGAAAAGCAGGCTACACAAAGCGTCTTGCGTCATTCCCCACTACCAGGCACACAGAAATAGAAAGCTGCCTTGTGAAGTCCAGCCACAGAAGCAACTCAGCTAGCACCAAGTTCTCATGAACTTGAGCCTCATAAACGTCACTGCTCATGTTTTGCTGGCAGGAAGCGGGATGGAGCTGAAAAGGCAGAATGATGACAGAAAGCATGGGGAGAGAAGGAAGAGACAAAAGGAAATAATTGCATTTGAAGACCACACAAGAAGCAGGAAGAGAAAGAAGTTTCAGAAGATATGCACAAGCTCAGTGAAAACAGCTGTCCACCACCCAAGGCAGGGACACCAAGGAAGTACCTATACACTAATTGGGCTGAAAGCCTACTTGCCTTACCCTGGCACTGAGGAAAAGACTGGCCTGAAAGCACTGCCCTTCCTCGCTCAGAATCATTTACTTTCAAAGGAACAGAAAGGGTTCGTAAGAGAAGTAAAATAAGAGAAATGAAAATCATGTTGCTAAAGAGGAAGCAGACAGTCACTGAATTGAAGTGACACAGAGCTTAACAGCAAGTTATGGATCAGTTTGCTGTTATCCACCAGCAGAGCTTGGCTGTACAATACCAGGTGCTGAGTCCGAGAATCATGTAGGCAGTCCACAACTAAGGTTCCCTCTCAGCTTACACCCGCTCAAGTCTTTGAAGCATTTTCTTATTTAAGATTCAATGTTTATATACATCACAAAGTGATCCAGCCAGGTCAAATCTTGGAATTCAGATTACTACCACTTCTGTTTTGGGGAGCTAACCTGGCAGAAAAGCCAAGGTGACTGGCAAGATTAAACTAAGCAATTTTTAAAGCCAAGGTCTCAGGTGGTTTAAAAAAACAGAATTTCAAGTGCTACAAAAACTCTTTGAAAGCATCAAAACAACTTAGGATTAGTCAAGTCCTTTTACATGATACAGGCACCTTGAATATTCTGATCTCTTCCTTTTCTAGGGAAGAGATCCTGAAACCATTATTCAGGAAATGTTCATATTCATGCTTATGTGCTTGCAGGTTCAGGCCCCAGTCTAAAAGACTTCTTAGAGCATAGTACACTTTTGCCCAAGAGTGAAGAACCCCTAGCAAGATAAATTTATTTTCATTAACTGTTTCTCATCCTTTCACAAAATGAAAAAAACTTACCCAGTGGCCCAAAAGTACAAGAACTCATATTACTCGATGCAGAACTATTATTCTGTTCACCCTGTGCCTTCAGAAAAATGTAAAAAAAAAAAAAACACAAAACAAGACATGGATCAGAGAGAGAAATTTCACATTTTTACAGAAAAGGGCTGGGTTTTTTTTTCCTGTGTTCTTATAGTGGCTCCAGATGGAATTTATCTGCTACTCTAATTATTGGCTCATTTTTATCTACATATCACTTCAAGTCCATTTTTCCAGAAGAGTCACATCTGACCACAGCCTAGTGTGAAGTATTCAGAACAAAGAGCACTTTATGCCAGAAGCCTCAGACAAGTTTAACATACCAGTTTGTTCTGCCCGACGTGTTCTGAGTTGGGCTCACTGAAGTTTGGCACTTCTGAGTATACCATGCAGAACCTGGGGAGAAATTAGGATTATGAGGAAGTTTAAAGCCATTTTTTAATCAAGTTCTCAACTCCACAACTCAAAGAGCGTATGTTCTTGACATATCCCATCACCTAGAAGTGACTAATCCAGATCCCACTGTTCAGAGAGTATCCATAGGTATTAAAAGGCTCTTTTTGTGGTGAAGCTGTCACATCTTCCTGGTGAGGGTGTTTCAGTCAAGCAGGGGCAAGTACACATTTACTCTAGGAGGTGAAACGGCCTTAAGAAAACAAAAGGTGATGAAAGGGCTGCCTTCACCTCTCTTCCAGCTGCACAATCTTGTCCAGTGCCCACTCACAAGGTCACCTGAGACAGAGTCACCCAGCCTGCTCCCAGACTGGGACTGCATTAGATCTCTAGGGAAATCTTAAACACTCCCACACGCTCCCATGCTATGGTGTGCCCCATTAACATAATAGCACAGAGGAGTCCAAAACAGGGAGTGAAATTCAAAGCATCCTTTTCCACTCAAGGGGACTATGGAGAAATAGACTCACCAACTCACCACATAGAAATTATGGCAGAGGGGAAGAAAGATTTGGATCATTACGCAGCTTGGACTGGTTAAGCAGAAGTGGAGCTCCCACCTCCTGCTGGGAGGCACAACCCAGATGAGGACTCACCTCACTCCAGCCTGCCGGAGAGTCAGCCAACTGGATGACACTTCTGAGGCGATGGCTTTGCACCAAGAAAATCTGCAGGTCATCCCTCACAAAATCCAGCTGAGCACTGGGCATTTTTGAACCATCAGAGAGGAGAGGTGGCCACCCCACAGCCCCACTTCCCTGATGACTACAAGGCCTCCCACGGCACTTTGTGCAACAGCGGAAGTACTCTTCTGGTTAGAAAATGCTGCTATTTTTCCTGTTGCTAGTCAAGTATGTTACTCATGTTTGTTCTTAGTCAGGAGCTGCCGCCGCCTCAGTTTGTGGGCAGTTTAAAGAAGGTTTAATGAGGCTTGCTTCTGTTTAGATATGATTCACTGGAGTAACCTCCGTCTTCCTTCTTTGCACTGCTTGTCTGTAAAGCATGATACACACACAAGGCTTCCACCAAAATAAAGTGGCTATTCAAGCTGAGGCCTAGGTAAGCAATGCAGATTATGTCCCTTGTCATTTATACAATTCCTCCCCTCTAGGTAAAACCCAGACCTGTGCCATGACGGAGGACGATTTTCTTCAGTATACCTAGAATCCAGAGAGGGTCGGAGCTCGTTACCACAACAGCATGTAAAAAGTCACGCCACAGTTGTCTGTACTGTACCTATCCATGACCAAACAACAGGCTTTTGCTGCCCTAGCTTCCATTTACTAACAGCTGCCACGTCTTATATTTACCATGTCGCTCTGCTGAGAGCAGGACGGAACACCGCAAGTATAAACACGCAATACTTACTCCCCAATTTTATGCAGCTCGCCTCCTCGCCCTGTGTAAAGCGTCAGGCATCCTTTCCAGAGAGATGCGTACCTGCCCAAAGAAAGGAGAAGCAAAGCAGTGTCTCTTAGCGACTAAGAAATACCGCTGTTGGAAAAAAGTAGAAGCATGCTATCTTCCAAGAGTCAGTATTACATATCAACATGAATGGACTAAAAAAATTCCCAGGGACCCCAACTTTGCCACACTAAAATTGTATAGATCCCCATGTTTTACTTCTAGCAAAAGGTACTGGAAGCTCAGCTGACTCCTTTGGCAATTCCAGGAAAGCAGCCAATTATTTTGAGACTGGATGCTCTTTCCTTGGCTGGAGCAGCCCTTTGACTGTTCCTGCAGATGAAAGGCATCTTGCCAAAAGCAGTATCTGAACTCTCATTTCTGCTTTCATGCTACTGAATATGTATAATAGGAAGTGCTTACTTTTTAGTATAGGTCCTTACCAGATTTTTTTTTTAAAGGCACAAGTTTGACCATCATGTTCCAAGTGACGTATAGAAATGCAATGAAATCACTTTTTGATTGCAGAAACATTCACTTACAAGACAGCATGAGTGCACTCTAGTCTTTATAGTGGCACTTGACTCCAAGCACTGGAATTTGAGTTATGCAAACCTTTCTGTATAATTGTTCCTTTCAGTGAGGGGCATCATGCATGTGAAGAAAATAGTGAAAATGCAGACCAGAAACCCAGGTGCAGCACAAGGGAGTTAACAGAAATGTAGGTGTCTTCTAGCAAAGGAATAGGGAGCCCCAGCAATCGCACTCTCAGGAGTCACTGATAATCTGGACAAGTCACCACTTTCTTACGCTCCGGGACTATCTCTGGAACATAGATAACAAACCTTCCTCTTGCCCTTTGCCTTATCTGCTGAGACTGGGAGCCATCCCGCTGCACATAGGGCCTCGAACAGAGGCAGCAGGGAGGAGCCAGGTCAACAGAACAGGACGATAATGCCAATGCAACGATAACCTTCTCTGTACTTCAGCATGAGCAGTAAAGCATAGTTATCTACAGCTACGGTGCCTGTCTTGGGAGTTTTCCATCCAGAAGCAGGATTAATGCTCTTCACTTCATAATGCTACCTTTCACTTTAAAGACTGCCTCTATGCTTAACCTTTAGTAACCAGCTAGTTGGATGGTCTTGTGGCAGAGTGCAAAGGAAAAGAGCTACGAAATAATAAATGTAAGTCAAACATACATTTACTAGGACGAGACCCAGCAAATCGTGGGACTGATAACCTCCAGCACAAAGTTATTCCATGTATGCAAGCATTTGTTTTTGTCTCAGAAAGAGCTAGCCATAATGCACTCCAGAACTAACTTCAAATTTAGAAATATTAACTGGAGCAGCTTCCTGTAAATGACTTAATCAGCCAATGACAAAAATCAGCAAGTGTCTGCTTTTGCAAAGGAAGGCATCTACAGCTTGAAATTCAGCGGGGGGGGAAAGATGTTTACATGTGGAGCCTAACTAAGCTTTCCTGCTTATAACAGTGAGCATACTGCAGTGGAAAGTCAGATTAGCCTATAGAGCTGAAATTTACCTGCCTTGCAATGGCAACATCACACGCTCAAATTAATCCTATTTAAGTATAAAACTGTGTTTGGGGAACCTTGTATGCCAGCGTGAGGGCATTTTTCTTAAAACGAGAGCCAAACCAGAATGTATTTAGCTTTTGCCATTTCACTGACTATGCAGTCATAAGTGAGCATGCAATTCATGTAAATGAAGGCATGACTTAGCTATCTACCAGGAATAGTGATGTCAGTTCATAAATTTAATTCATACAAGCCAAACTCACTTTTTGACATGAAGGGATGCAATGACCCTCCCATTTGTTGCACTGAAACACCAGAGCAGCTACAGTAAGCCAGTCACAGAGCAAAGTGCAGTAACAGTGCTGAACAGTATCGCTATTAATTTCTTTCAATGTCATCTACGCACAGGGCTTTGTGCTGGCCCAGAGCTCTGGTTTAGTTCCACCCATCTCAGCGCCCCAGGACTCCACGTGCTCTCCATGCAAGCAGGCTTCCCCAGAGCCGCCTCTGCTGAGGAGTCAGCCTATTTCGTGTAAAAGGACATTTGCATAGGAGGAAGCAGCTGTAGGTTTGGTGTCAGGGGTCATCCCATTTCTCTCCAAACAGAGAATTATACTCAAATGAACAACTTAAGAGCAGCTCAAGTTAGCAGTTCCACTGAGTAACCTTTCACATACTTTTTTATAAAAACAAATTAAAAGGACCTTACACACCCTGTGCTTCCACCATCTCCTGGAGTGCTGCAGGCCAAAGGATCAGTGTAATGGATTTCTAAGTGTAACCTAACTGGCATGAAGAACTCAAACAAAAGTGACTATTACTTTGCTACTGACAATTTAATTGACACAGAAAAAGATTTTCAAATTGAATCTAGTATTCTTTCTCACAGCTAATAAATATAAGTTCAGGTTGTTTTTTTTAAATTAAAGCAGCTCTGAGATAAACTAATTGCACCTAACCAAACTAACGTGCCCTAGCATGAATTTTTACAGTGAAACTGAAAAGGCTCTCCTCCTCTGCCTGTCATTTCTGTTAAATCCACTGCAATGAAAAGCAACTTTTCTGCATGAGAGACATTAATCATTTCCTCCTTTTATTAAGGAGCTGGCTGCTAGAGTAAAGAATTGGCTGTAAAAATAAGAACATGCTTTTGACTTCTCTGCTCGATTTACAGGCCAGGACCGACTGTTGCATTCGCTTCCCCCCAGCCCCCCCAAAAGCAGTATTTTCCTATGGAGTTTTTTTTAAAGCCAAAGCAAGTCTCTTACACCACCTCCTCATTAAAAATACAAGCCCTTCCTAGCCATCTACTAGACTGTACGCTCGTGCTAGGCATGTTCAGGGGTGGAGAAGAAGGTTTTAATTTGGCAAGTGACCTCAGGGTGCTGCCTCGATAACAGGGAGCCAGTCCAAAGGGGGCGAGCTGTGTCATCCGTGCCTCTGGGAGGGCGGCCGAGCCCGACAAAGGGCTCCCCCGACCCGGCGCTGCCCCGGAGCGCAGGCAGCGCTTGGCCGGGCCGGGGAGCGGGCGAGGCGGGGGCC